ATTATTAGGGTCTATGTAGTCAATGTGTGAAACATAGCTAAAAACTGGGAAACAAACCCTAATATGCACTATTTTGTGCCAAAAACCAAGTGTATAACATGTAAAATATGAAGTAGATCAATTCCCTCACACTTAGATTTTGCTCTCCGCAAAACTCTCTCAAAACCTAGACAAGTAAGCAACACAAATATACAAGCTCTCAAGAGTAAATTCAATTTTCAAAGTTAATGCACTATTACAAGAACTAAATCAATGTTGCAATCTTTAAAGAAAAACCTTAATACATCACAAGTGAACCATCTGCAAAAATGTAATCTAAAAAAAAAACCTCACTTGATTAGTGTTTTACTCAAGCACTCGGTGTATAAGGGTACAAATATCACTTAAGTTCCTTGGCAAGTCATCCTACCATATGCTTGTGATCCCTCTATCTTTCCACTATTAAGATGCAAGGGTTCTCAAGAATCATATGGACTTTCAAAGGATATAATGTGCTTAATGAATGGTACACTTAGACTTGCATGTGAAAGGGGTAGGGTTTGGCTCAAGAAACTTGTCTTGGCCACAATATAGGTATGCTCAATATACAAGACTACTCAAAACCAAACTAAATAGATAACATAATAGGGATCATGGATGGAATGAATAATTGGCCAAGAATGAGATGAAATGAGAATCTACAAATAGGAACAAGTAAATCAAATAGCAAACTCAAGGAAACTTGCTTATTCAAACTCTTTCTTTTGCTTTTCATTAATCCACTTTGGATCTCTTTTTCTCAAATATATTTCTTTCTATAATCTTTTTCTTCTTTCTTTTCTATCACTTCTTTCTTTCTTTTGTTTTTTTTCTTGTTCTTCTTCTTAATTTCATTTTTTTTATTTCTCTTTTTTTTTTCAAGCATAGCTTCAAACATTTGGGTACAACTCAAGAAATGTTCCTTAATCATAAGAATGGAATGGTATGGCCAATGTGAATGAATGAAATAGATCCCAATAGATGTTATCTACTAGTTAAATTAAAAATAATCAATACACATTAAAACATACTAAATAAGAATACATGCAATCTATCCAAAATAGGGTTAAGTGTTTAAAAATGACAAAACAAAAGAAGGCTCTATTTGGCTAAGCGAGGGATAATCAAGTAATCAAGGGTTAGCTAAAAGGCCTTGGGCACTTTAATGATGGCCATAATCACTTTCCCTACAACCAATGCACAAGTGTAGCCTCAAGTAAGACAGAAAACAAGTTCTAGAGGATTAACAAAATTAAGGAACATAGAACTCTCAATAGTTGAAGGTCCATTCCATATGGTTTATTCTTGTGTTTGTTAATCAATTACACTCAACTAAATGGTTTATTGCTTCAAAACAGATTTAAAGTAAAGAAAACAACATCTCAAGAGTTCAAACTCAAATGCAAAAACTAAGATCATCTTCAAAACTCAAGATTGCTCACAAAACAAAAGTTTTTTGTTTCAAAAACATACTTTCCCCCACACTTAAATAATGCATTGTCCCTAATGCATGCAAAACACATAATAGGAAGAATTAAATCAAATCTGTACATCATGTAAAAGTGTGGAAAAAGTTCATTTCATTATTTTTTTTTGAAAACCCTAAACTAAACAGCAAAGGGAAACAAAGGAAAACAAAGAAACAATAAAAACTAACATAACAATGGAAAAGGAATTTCGTTTTTTTTTTGTTTTTTTTCTAAACCTAATGAACCAGGTTGCATCTCCCCCCACACTTGAACTCAAAATGATATTCACAAATACAAACACAAGCAAAGAATGGTGTACCACATGTGTGCATATGTGACAACAAGCATATCCCAATTAGTGCTCCACTTGTGTGCTTTGTGAATCAATCAAATCATCAAAAAGAAATAAGAAGGAGAGATACAACCTTTAAAGACTCATGGAGGATCTTTGAATCTCATTTCAGCAAGCAATGTGGAAGATTCACCCTCATGAAATTTCTTGCACAAGTAGCCATTTGCCTTGAATGTTAAGCCACTTTGAGGATCTTTGAGGGTGATAGTGCCATAGTCAAAAATTTCCCCCACAATGTAAGGGTCCTCCAATTTGGATTGAAGTTTGCCACCAAAAAGCTTGAGCCTTGTCTTGAACTTAAGCACTTTATCTTCCACTTGAAAATGCTTCCTCAAAATACATTTATCATGAATGAATTTTGCTCTTTCCTTGTACAATTTAGAGCTCTCACATGCTTCCAATCTCAACTCCTCCAATTATTGAAGTTAGAGCTTCCTTGAGGCCGCTACACCCTCCTCACCAAATGCACAAGCCTTCACAACCCAATAGGCTTTATGCTCAATCTCCACCGGGAGATGACATTGCTTACCAAAGACCAATCTAAACGGAGACATCCCAATAGGTGTCTTGAAGGCGGTCCGGTATGCCCAAAGAGCCTCCTTAAGTTTTGAGCTCCAATCCTTCCTATTCGGTCTTACAATCTTTTGGAGGATAGACTTGATCTCCGTATTCTACTACTCGGCCAACCTATTTGTTTAAGGATGATATGGGGTGGCCACCTTATGTAGAACACCATATTTTGAAGCAAATAGGAGATAGTCTTGTTGTAAAAGTGTGTCCCTTGGTCTGTGATGATTGCTCTTGGGATGCCAAACCTGTAAAACACATGAGACAAGAGCAACTTTGCCACAACTTTGGCATCATTAGTTCTAGTGGGGATAGCCTCAACCCACCTAGAAATAAAATCAACACGGAGCAATATATATTCACAACCATTAGAAGAGAGAAAAGGACCCATGAAATCCATACCCCAAACATCAAAGATCTCACAAAATACAATGGGCGCCTGTGGCATTTCATGTCTCTTTCCCAAACTCCCAATATGTTGACATGCATGACATGCTTTGTAAAATTGATGTGCATCTTTAAAAAGAGATGGCCAATATAAACCACAATCTAAGACCTTCTGCCCGATCCTCCTAACCCCAAAATGACCACCACATGCATAAGTATGACACATCCTCAACACATCATCAATCTAAACATCAGGAACATATCTCCTAATGACACTATCACTACACAATCTCCAAATAGTAGGTGAATCCCAAACATAGTATCTACTTTCGCTAGCAAGCTTCTCCTTAACATGTCTAGTAATCCCATTTGGAAACACATTATGCACCAACAAATTGACTAAATCAAAATACCAAACAATATCATGGGAAGAAATAGCACATAATGATTCATCCCTAAACTCATCACAAGGGAAATCAAAAGAGGAATTCACCATAATGGAGTCATAAGGCAATCGACTCAAGTGATCTGCCACATGATTTGTTGCTCCACTCCTATCAATGATCTCTAAATTGAACTCTTGAAGTAGAAGCATCCATCTAAGCAAACGTGGCTTGGTGTCCTTCTTCTTTAAAAGGTACTTCAAGGCCGCATGATCTGTAAAACAAACAACCTTGGAATGCATTAAGTAAGATCAAAACTTGTCAAGAGCAAACACTAATGCATACAATTCTTTTTCAGTTGTGGTGTAATTGCATTGTGCTTTGTCTAATGTCCTAGATACATATGCAATGACATAAGGTAGCTTGTTTTCCCTTTATCCTAACATAACCCCAACAGCAAAATTAGACGCATCACATGAAATCTCAAATGGAATCAACCAATTAGGACTCCTCAAAATAGGAGGGGAAACAAGCTTAGCCTTGAAAGCATTCAATGCATCTTTACAATTTGGAGAGAACTCAAATTTGACATCTTTTTGAAGTAATTGAGATAAGGGATGTGCAATCTTTGAAAAATTTTAATAAATCTTCTATAAAAACCCACATGGCCAAGGAAAGATCTCAAATCCTTGACATTAGTTGGATAGGGCAGAGATGAAATCACTTCAATTTTGGCCCTATCCACTCAATGCCATGGCTTGAAACTAAGTGGCCCAAGACAATCCCTTGCTCAACCATAAAATGGCACTTTTTAAAGTTCAAAACCAAGTTCTTCTCCATACATCTAGCAAGGACTTTATCAAGATTTCTCAAGCAAGAAGAATAAGAATCCCTATGAATTGTGAAATCATCCATGAACACTTCCATGCAATTTTTAATAAAATCACTAAAAATACCAAACATGCATCTTTGGAAGGTCCCTGGAGCATTACACAATCCAAAGGGCATTCTTCTATATGCAAAGGTACTAAATGGGCAAGTGAAAGTGGTTTTGTGTTGATCAACCGGATCAATGCAAATCTAAAAATAACCACTATATTCATCAAGAAAGCAATAATGAGATTTCCCCCCTAATCTTTCTAACATTTGTTCAATAAATGGGAGAGGGAAATGGTCTTTCTTGGTTGACTCATTCAACCTCCTATAATCAATGCATACCCTCCAACTATTTTGTACCCTAGTAGGAATCAATTCATCATGTTCATTCTTTATCATAATAATTCCACTCTTCTTGGGCACAACTTGTACGGAAGATACCCATTCACTATCACTGATAGGATAGATTATACCTACACTCAAGAGTTTGGTAACCTCCTTCTTTACCATATTAAGTATGAGAGAATTCAACCTCTTTTTTGGTTGCCTTATTGCCTTGGCATTTTCCTCCAACATGATCCTATGTGTGCAAGTTTGAGGGCTAATTCCAGGAATGTCTCCAAGTGTCTACCCAATAGCGTCAATGTTCTTCCTCATTACATCACACAATAAAGACTCTTCCATAGGGGTTAGTGAAGAAGAAACAATAATAGGAAGTTGATTATCATTTCTTCAGTAAGAATACTTAAGATGTGAAGGAAGTAGCTTCAACTCCAGATTGGGTGGCTTAATGATGCTTGAAGGAATATTTTGCACTTGAATTTGCCTTGCTAGATCCATGTCTTCCTCTTTAAGTGGCACATCCAAGCTTTTAACAGCTGCTGTATGCAAAATTTTGTCCAAATTGACTTGCTTTGTTCCAACTTTGTGCCTCACATCTAGACCTGACTAGCTTGCTCTAAAATTAATTCCCATTTCAGTCAGATCTGATTCTGGACTTTCAGCACCAATTTGCACACCCCTTAGATCATTAACAGCCCTAAAATCACTTTGTTCATGCTTTTCAAGTGTCCCTAAACCTGAAACATCACAAGTAGAACACTCCTCCAACCTTGGAGAATGATTAGGCACAAAAGGATTAAAGCTGTCAAAAATTCCAGAATTAAATTCACTAGAAGAAATCAAATAATTTGATGAAATATGACATGTGGAAGATGAACTAGGGCCATCATTAGATGCAATTTCACTCTCATCACTTGATTCAATCACTAAATCAATAGAATTTCTAAAATTGATACTAAAATCATCAAACTCATCTAATGCAAGCAAATCACTCAATGAAGCATATGTTTGGTCGTGTGAGGAACTAGACAACACAAGTGCTTCAAATGGAGTCCAAGTAGATGAGTGAGGCATATCAAGTGTGCTACCATTCAAATGCTCATGCTTAAGTGAATGCAATTCATCTTATTTTTTCAAATTAGACAAAATTAACACTATGTTATTGCAATTCACACAAATAGAGTCATGAGTGCATGAATAAGTGAAACTAGGCAAAGATGCAACATCATCCAAGTTAGGAGGCATAGAAACCTCATCAATGATTCCATCAAGTGTATCATCAATGCAATCCACAAAATGAAGGCTGTAATTAACATAAGAGTTTTTCAAGCTATCAAATATATTAAATTCAATCATGTTGTCCAAAAACTCCATGGTAAGTTTACCTTCCTTCATGTTCAATATAGTACTTGATGTCATCATAAAAGGTCTCCCAAGGACGAGTATGCCTTGGCCTCCTTCTTGCATATCCAACACATAAAAATCTGCTGGAAAAACCAAGTCCTTGACCTTCACTAAGATGTCTTCCAAGAATCCCTTTGGCTTTCTAATGCTCCTGTCGGCTAGTTGCAAGATAACACTACAATCTTGAAGACCACCAAGATTAAGGGAAGAATAAATATGAGTGGGCATCATATTGATGGCTGCCCTTAGGTCAATCAAGGCTTCTTGAATAAACACATTCCCTATTTGACAAGGAATGGTACATGCCCCCAGATCTCTACACTTTAGAGGAAGTCGTGGCTTAAAGACAGCACTAATATTAGGACTCATTTGAACTGTAGCTAATGGTTTGAATCCCCTTTTATTAGTGCACAACTCCTTTAAAAACTTTGCACACTTAGGCATGCTTTTTATCATCTCAAGAAGTGGTATGTTCACTTCTACCTTCTTTAACATATCAAACACATCATGCCTATCTTCTTCTTGCGCTTTCTTAGTAAATCTAGTCAAGGCCTTAGGGAATGGCATATCCCTTGGAATATGGTCCCTAATTTGATACTCTTTTGGAGGCTCTCTTCTTCCCAACACCTCTTTCTCCTTAGGCTTACATGAATCATTCTCATTTGCCTTAGAAGATGGATGAACCATGGCTGTTCCAGCATTATCATGGCCTTGATTTGAGCTCAATTTTTTCTTGAGAATTCAAGGCTAATCTTGCCCCATTTGCATCCTCAACTACAATCTCTTCAATAGAGTCATCCTCATCATCAATCACTTGAAGACTTAGAGAAGTAGGAGGCATGTTCTTGAGGCTATGTGAGGCACTTGGATGCAAATTTAACTTACTGTCACAGCAAGTGGAATCATGTGGATCAGCAAGAGAAAGTGGTCTTCCTTCACAAATTTGAGAATTTCTTGAAATAACCTCACTAGGCTTGCTGCCACTATGGTTTGAGGCACTTGTAATGGCTTCAAGAACTCTTCCACTCCTCAACTCGATTGCACTAAAGCTCTTTGGATTGATGACAAGTTAAGTTAGGAGCTTTCCACTTCCTTGAGCTTGGCTAATGCTATTTGAATTCCTAAATTGTTGTACCACCAAATCAGTGCTTTGTTGCTTTGATTCAAATTATCTAGCCTCTTAAGCATCATGTCCATTTTTAATTTTTTCCTAGACACATGAGAATCAAACTTTTGGCCCATAGAAAACATAGCATCACCCATCCTCTCAAGGTAGGAATACATTTTTTTATCACCTCCACCATCTTGAATAGGGATCACTTGAGAATTCTTGGCTTACACAACCTCTTGATTACCCTTGTAGCTGAAGTTAGGGTGCTGCCTCCAACTTGGGTTGTGCTCCCATAATTAGCCTCAAAATTGTTCCTTGCCCCTTGATTATGTTGATAAATGTAGGGCCTTTGTTGTTGATACACAGCCCCAACATCTTGAGCATGCATGCAATTAGAGGTTATATGCATTGTGGAATTACATATACCACAAATAGGAGCCACTAAAGCATCGAACATAGAAGCAATTTGAGCTTGTGGAGGATTGGACATAGACATCTTGAGAAAATCCAATTGAGAGTAGATATCCTCCAATTGGGAATTAGCAATAGAAGATTGGCCCACTTGGTGAACACCCCTTGCATCTCTTGAGCTATATTGTTGGTTATTATTTGCAAGCTTTTCTAATAAGGTCCATGCATCATCCGGTAGAAAATCTAATAGAGAGCCATTTGCAGTAGCATCTATGGTCTCTCTATCATGAATTTGCAACCCCACATAGAAATAATCAATGAGGAACTTCTTGCCCACATTTAGGTATGGACACTTTGCAAACAACTCAAGAAACCTCATCCAATACTCATAAAGAGATTATTGAGGGTTTTGTTGAATCCCCATGATTTGCTTCCTTAGTTGGGAATACTTGGTTGTTGGAAAATATTTCTCAAGAAAGCAATTTCACATCTCCACCCAAGAATTGATAGTCCTTGTGGCAAGAGTATTGAACCGTGTGATTGCTTTGTCCTCAAGAGTAAAATAGAAGACCTTGAGCATCAAATTCTCCAAGTTTTCTGTGGGAGGCTTTATTGTTAAACAAACCCTCTCAAGTATTTGAAGATGCCTATTAGGATCCTCACCTGCAAGGCCATGGAATTTTGGCAAAGCATTAATCAATGAAGGTTTGATTTCATACTCATTTTGTTCTTGTAAATTTAAAAACAAGCCACTAGGTCTAAATGTGTCAGTGGGTGCTACCATCTAATACTCCTCCTAGTAGGTATTTCATGTTCACTACCATGCAATCTATCAGCCATACTGTCCAAAATTACTGAATTATCAACTATGGTGTTTGGAAGAGAAGAAGATGCTAAGAACTCTAAGTATTGATCTCTAAATTCAATATAATTTTTACCAAGTTCTTTGCAAGTCCTAAAAGACATATAAAGCTCAGAACACCATAGAAATAGCACTGGACCAAAGAAAAATCAAAAATTTGAAAATAGGCAAAAATTTTAAAAACTAGCATAATTGAAACCCACTGAGGCAGTATTTTTGTAAAACTTTTTCAAACGTGAAAAAGACAAAATTAGCAAAAACTCAAAACTAAAAATTTGAAGATAAAACACTTAATTAAATGTAGGAATTTTTATAAACAAAATGTCCAAATAGGGAAAGAGATATGCTTATCCAAAGTTATCCCTGTCTACTTGGAGTGTCATTGGGAGTCAGCAGTGGACCCTATGTGCTTGTTCAGTGCAAAACTCTCTGGTCCCGAATCAAATTGAGCTGAAATTTTTACCTGAAACTTTAAACACATAGAAGGTTATACAATCCAATATTGAAGAAAAAATTCATAGTCAATTCTTCCAAGGATTTTTTTGAATTAGGGTCTGCAGCACTGGAATTTCTAGTCAACCCTGTTTTAGTTAAGCAAAACTTCAACCAACTTAATGGCCGAATTAGCAATTATGTTCAATAGAAAAAATGTTTCTATGATAACCAGGAACACAATGAAACAAGAATCAGCTCAAAACAATATGTCTAGCAAAAATTATACCTATCCAAATTTTATGCAAAATTTCTGGACAGAGCAAATTCTCACAGCTTGCTGGCACTTGAGCTAACCTTGACAGATTTAGCTTGCACATCTAGAATCAATACTATGGTGACTATATCTAGTAGCAAACAAACCAACAAGTGATCAAATGCTCAGAAAACACAGATCAGCCACCACAACACAAATTCCAGAATTAAGCCATAATGTAAAGCAAATTAAAATAGCAATTGAAACCACAATTTGTATGGCTAGTTGCTCCCCGGCAATGGCACCAATTGATGAACCCTTTAGTCGCCTTGGGTTATCAAATTTTACTAGAATGTAGAAGTGAGTATTCTAGGTCATTTCCCTAGAGAGCAAAGCATACAAATTATTGTTCAAATGTCACAAATTAATTTGAATTTTTCAAGTGACTAAACTAACTCTATAATGCAATAATAAATGTTTGTAAAATTATGTTTTAGTTGTAATGAAATGAATGATGATTATGGTGAGCCCAAGTTAGATTTCCTAACATTAACCATTAATTTCCAGAACTATAACATTATAAACCTTCTTGATTAACCTAAAATGAGACACTTAGAAACCTCTAAGTGTGGTGCACCATTAGACTCATGGACACTAATGAATCTAGGTTAAGTGAACTTAGAAATTAACACTATATCCAGCCTTGTTGTACACAAGTTTCAAACCAAAACTAGTGGAAGAAAAACAGCTTAAGTCAAATTCATATAACCAATATGGATCTAACTCAAGTCTATACACAATCTTGAACAAGAATTAGCAAGAATTTATGAAATAACCCTAGAAAATCAAGGTAAATCATAAATTCCAGAACTGAAAAATAGCATAAAAATCTAAATTCAACATTCATATTCTCATCAAATCTAAATTAGAATCATAAATTCCTTAACTAAACATAGTTTCAGAATTGAATCCTCAAAGAATCAAAATAAGAACATGAAATCAAGAAAATAAACACAACAATTACAAATCTAGAAATCTCATAATGTCAAGTCATCTTTCTTGGAGCTCTAAATGATTTGCCTCTCATACTCTTCCTCTTCACTTGAATCAGACCTTGAGAAGCCTCCATGAATATATGAAGATGAAGATGAAATCTGGAGATAAATGTGTGCTGGATGAAATCTGGAGGAGAAGAAGAAAATGGACGAAAATTTACAGGAGAATGAAGGCAGAATTCAATGTGAATGAAGGAAAAAGGAGAAGAAATGATCTAGACAGTGAGAGGATGAGAAAATGGCATGATCTGGACAAGAAGATGAGAGAACTGAATCTGGAAAATTGGAGAGTGAATATGAACGAAAATTGAGAGAGAATATGGCTGAAGTGAGAGAGTGGGATCTGAATTGTGAGGCTCCAATCTAAAAATTTAGCTTATGTATGTGTGAATAATGTGAAGGTGATGAAACCAAAGTGACTGGTGATATAAACAAGGAAAATCTAGATCTGAAGTTGGTTAATTTCCAACTGGAAAATGGAATTAATTGGCTGAAATTCAAACTGAATCTGGTGCCTCATAACCGAATGAATGAGCATGGGAAATGTGACTTGATGCATGGAAAAAAATGTGATTCCCCTTAGCTTGCTTCAGTTCCATATGACTTTCATGCATTTTAGACTAAATCATGACTAAATTGCTCTCTGATTGCCTCATTATGATGTCAGCTATTGCTTCCCATGTGACTAGCTTAAATTTACGTCTGAATTGCTCCCATTTCTCATGATGATGTCATGCAATGAATTCTTAGATCAGGTCTATACCTCACGCACACGTGCTCATGACTTGCCCATTATTTATTTTATTTCCTCAATGAACTTTTGAAATTAGGCTTGCCAACTCAACATTAATTAAATCTATAAAAATGATACCATTCAGCCCTTCATGTGCTCTTGACCTCTCTAAAATTATTGACCAAGTCTTTACTCCTTGATTCCAAGATTGCCCTCACACAAATCTAAAAATAAAAACAGAATACAACATAAATTCTAAAAAGAAAAATTAAAAAGGAAGAAAATGAGAATTTAGGCCCAAAAATTCAATCAAGCATCTTAAAGTCTCAAACCATCTACCAAATAGCATTATCAGGGTCTATGTAGTCAATGTGTGAAACATAGGTAAAAACTAGGAAACAAACCCTAATTTGCACTATTTGGTGTCAAAAACCAAGTGGATAACATGTAAAATATAAAGTAGATCAATTCTATTGGCACGTGTGGTTGAGTTAGGACACCCCATTTAGGAAATTTTGATGAAAATGTTTCAAAATGGGTTTTAGTGTCTAACTTTTGATTTGAGTGTAAAACTAGTACCATTAGCTAGAGCTAGGAGAAAGCTCCCTGCAGACACTAAAACCACCTCAATCGGACATCGAACGGAGATTTGGGATGTGTTGAAAGTTTGCTCCCTGTGTTATAAAATGACAGCACTGATCTATCAAATTTTGTGCAATACGCCACGGCGCATGGCACCTCACGCCGTAGTGCATGGCACAAAGAAGACACGCCGTGGTGTACGAATCGTAAGCCACAATGCACATGTTAAATTCTGTGTGAAAATA